CCCAAAACCCCAAAACCCCAAAACCCCAAAACCCCAAAATATCTGGATTGTATTGAATTTTGTAATTTTTTGTTTGTTTCAAGTTAATGGAGTCTAGCTCAGAGCTTTACACCGAAGAAATGAAATCATCAACCTACAACTTCGACTTCAAGAACGCAAGCATTCGGATAAACTTCTTCCAGGACTTTTTCATTTATGTAGACTTTAAGCAGAAGACCAGGTGCAAGATTCATCTGTCTCAGTTCAAATTTAACAGCGAAGAAGATGAGGTTGCTCTTAAAAAGAAATATAAGCTTGAGATTGGCAAAAAGATAGAGTCTGGGGCACTTAAGATCGAACCATTCCATAAGGTGTTCTTTGCGCCGATAGATGAGTTTAAGGATACAGACCAGATCGTTCATATCGCACCTCATTTCGTTTACCTCATCAGGGGCCATATTTCCACATCCACGAAGGTTAATGCGATGGCTTATGCCAGGGGAGGGAGTTTGCCAAAGATTTATAAGTTCGATTTCAGTAAGTTTGAGTACAAACTTGTATTCACGTTCAACCACGATCTGTATGGATTCACTGCAACGAGGTACTCACTTAGTCAAGATAGCATCATTGAACTTGTAAGTCCCTTCTCAAGAGATGAAATGAATGGAAGTGGATACAGAGGCTTTCTTGTATTGGGAGGTAAAGGCATCAAGGTCCCAAGAGAAAGCGAGAATAGCTTCTTAAAGAGGTACTATTTCTATATCACTCATGATGGAAAAGGGGAGCATCTCGATTCTATGTATATCATCAAGAGCAAGGCGATGTACGTAAAGTCGGATTCAATCTCGATTACACATCGGATAAACAATTTGGACTATGTAATTTGTCATGCTGGAAGCAGGAAGAAAGATAATAGTGAATCAAAAGAAATGGAAATGACCAGCTCCTTTGATACTTTGTTTTATCATATTGACAAAGCCGCCATGTGCTTTGGAACCCCACAGATTGATCAGTGCTCCTTCTGGAATAGCACTAAGTATGCCATGATTCCTACTGGAGATTTCATCTATTTCTTGGGAGGTAGATCTCTTGTTGAGGCTGAGGATTTAAATAATGAAAGGCTTAACATTAGGAAGCTTAAGATTATCATGGATCCCGACCAACCCTTGAATATTCATAGTATTACTGAGACTGAAGATTTCCATCCTGTTAGGAAGAGTGAGACGTTACTTTTTAACGAAGAGAGCCACTCCGATTTATGCTATCTGAACTACAATGATAACACAAAGCCATTAGAGACCATCTACGGGTTGTTTACGACATATTCAGACCCACATGAGCTGTACGTGTTAGAGTATGACACTGAGAAAGAAAAGCCTGTTATTAAGAACCTTAGGGTCGATTATAGACCTTTTAAGCATAAGACTAAAGTTGTTAAGTATTTCATATATTTCATGTATTGGTTTGGTTAGAATAGAAATTTTAAAAGCAGAGAGACACTAGTTTTAACCTGAACAGCAGGATATTGGTAGTGGAAGGTAAGAAAATGAGAACGAGTTCTGGGAGGATTGAAATAGAACCCAAAATTTAGATGACACATGGAAGAAAGCTCATTCCAATTACCTTTATTTTACATCCTATTGCCCCACATCTGACTAAAACACCTCTCCTCACTGTCCAATCACCCCAAAACTCTCAATCCCCTCTACCCTTCTACCCTCTCCCTTCCATCATCCCCTCCGATCTCCATTTTCCCTTCGAAATCCAGCAATAATAATTGAATAATTTAAAATGCAGCTCAACAGCAAATTTCCACCCAGGGGTTTTGGGGTTTTGGGGTTTTGGGGTTTTGGGG